ACCAGTGGGTGCACCACCACCTTAGTCACCGCCAACTCGTGCACTGTCACCGCCACAGACACCTCCTGTGAGGTCGAGCTCAACACCTTCACCCCTCCCGCGTCCTTCTTATCCATCACTTCCGTTGGGTTTCGCTTTCAATTGATGACAATATATGCGATCAAAGAGTGATTCAATTGTCTTGTGTTTTGTTTGCAGTTTCAGACAAATCGCTGAATCACTAAACACTTGATCCAAAAGGGTTTAACACAACACAAACACAACTTATTTAATATGACTTCCGATTCACTACTAATTAATTCAATATATTTTTAGTGCATTTCAAACAGTTATCGATTACAAGAAATTATGTCACTTTTGGTCACTATTTAATTGAATTTACTTTTAATTATAATTACCAATAATAGTCGTTATATTAATGAGATTTTATTGTATTTAAGCCAACGATTGAGTATTGTTTAATATTCAGTCCCTTTTCATAAGCAAATCTGTTTGCAAAATAATGAGTGCATTGCATGAAAAGGTATCATTTGATAACCAGTGGGTGCACCACCACCTTAGTCACCGCCAACTCGTGCACTGTCACCGCCACAGACACCTCCTGTGAGGTCGAGCTCAACACCTTCACCCCTCCCGCGTCCTTCTTATCCATCACTTCCGTTGAGTTTGGCTTTCAATTGATGACAATATATGCGATCAAAGAGTGATTCAATTGTCTTGTGTTTTGTTTGCAGTTTCAGACAAATCGCTGAATCACTAAACACTTGATCCAAAAGGGTTTAACACAACACAAATACAACTTATTTAATATGACATCCGATTTACTACTAATTAATTCAATGTATTTTTAGTGCATTTCAAACATTTATTGATTACAAGAGATTATGTGACTTTTGGTCACAATTTAATTGAATTTACTTTTAATTATAATTACCAATAATAGCCGTTATATTAATGAGATTTTATTGTATTTAAGCCAACGATTGAGTATTGTTTAATATTCAGTCCCTTTTCATAAGCAAATCTGTTTGCAAAATAATGAGTGCATTGCATGAAAAGGTATCATTTGATTGTAAACTAAGTAATAGAGAATTGACTCAAATATAAAGGTATGGAATAATCGCAAACAAAGCGTTCCCTCCATTGGAAGGCATTGTGTGAACACGTGTTGAATGAGTGACCCCTTCGTAGCACTTAATATACGAGCGACTCTTTGGACATAAACATTGTTTAAAACCATTTTATGTCTACTCGTGAGCAGAACCTGAACTGATCCGGTGGTGACTATGGGTGTGGACAACATCTGCGAGCTGCCGGTGGAACTGTTGGAACTGATAATGACATACATCTCGTACGACGAGATCGCGCGCATCCGAGGCGTCTGTCGTTTGTTTGACTCGTGTTCACAACGACTCCTCAATCGTGGGTTCGTTAGGGTTGAGAAATACCACAACATTTGCTTCCGAAGAGTCAAACAACAGCTCCCGAGACGAGAGTCCGAACGCAGGAGTCATCCGCTCGCCAGACATTGCGACGTCTTGTCCGCCATCGAGACCAGACTCTCCCTCTTAGGTCTTTACCACTCTTTGTCCCCGAATATCATTGCATGCGTTGTGTCTCTCACGCGTCTGCAGCCGTCATGTCCTGCAGTTAGCCATCACTTCTTCAGAGTAGTTCCCAAACATATGTTGCTCTCAAATATGATACCATTTATGACTATATTGTTTGCATTGAATTGAATGCAACCCTCTTTCAGACAATTAGTGTCCATTTGACAGACAGTGAGATCTTGTAATGCATTGTTAGACACAATTGAAGACAATCTAACTTTCCTTATATGTAATGAACTAAACCTAATGTATGTCTAATGTGGACAGGTATGACATATATGAAGTACGTGGAGATGACCCTCTGCTGCTTCATTCCGGGCAAAGTGATCGATGAGATCTACAGAGTGTTGCGGTTCATCCAAAACAACCAAAACCCGCCGCGAGTTCACGAACTGCTTCAAGAGCTGCGGGACATCTCGTCGATGGCTATGGAGTACTTCGAGGAGAAGATCGCGCCCTCACTGAAGAACAAACTGTCCAACTGTTCGTCGAGTAGTGTCATGACGAGTGTAGTTCCTCTGAGCACTTCATCCCTGAATTCGTGTCATCGGGCGCTGCCCTCGACTTCCGGTTCGTCGCCTATATATCAGACGCCGAGAAGCAGTCCTTTCGGAGACCAGGAGTCGAGTAAAACGATTGTTAACAACAATCTTATAAAACAAATGCAAACCTCACAAAACACTATCAAAAAAGAATTCAATGAAATTAAAGTCAAGTTAAAGGACTTCTCGGGTCTTAAGCGAGAGCTCACTTCACTTCAGCGCAAAGCCAGAGAGTCAGAGAAGGTGTCCGTAGAAAAGGATCAGATTATCGCTGAATTGAAGGCTGAGTTGGAGGACTTGAAGCGCCGTATGACTGAATACGATAAGAAGAGTTCTCTTAAGTCCATGAAAGACGAGCAACAGATCCATAAAGAGACCAAAACTGTCAAACGAAAGGCTCCGAAGACACCAAAAGGTAGACCCAAACGATTGCGTAGCCATTCATCCGAGGCATCACTTGTTGAACAAATGGATGACACGGAAGTGATACACAATACTCGGCGCCCGTATGTCACACAACAGGCCGTCAGGACTCGACGCAACTCTCAGCCTAAGACGAAGTCTATTCCCAAACCAAAAGCAGCGCCGAAACGAAAGAAAAGCAATACTTCGAGTATAGCTTTACGAGAAAAACGGCTTAAAAACTAAGTTATTATTAGTTATTATTCATCTATTTCTCAATTTATTTAAATTATTATTATTTCTATTATAGCATTTCAAATGTTAATTACAACTTTCAATATATTATTATTTTATCTAATTATTCATTTAATTTAGTTTTATTTTATGGTACAGTATAGCGAATTGTAGTCCTAATAAATGCCAATCCGTTACAATAATGGTATGATATCTATCAAACACATGTAACTTATTACTGATACTATTTTCTTTTATAAATTTATATCTTTGTATAAAAAATTATTATTAGCTTATGTTTTACCATAAATTATTAAATAAATCGAATTAAAACCTAGATTATTTTATTTATTCAAATGGTAACGAAATACGGTATATAGAAAACAATTTGAAAATTAATACTGGTATATGATTAGACTAATATTACTTCCGGTAGTTAGAGTCATAAAGTATCATGTAAATTATGATTTCTTGAATACTTCATTAAATACCGGTACTTAGAGTTAAAATAAATGTTTTATCGGATGTTAGTATAAAATTAGAAAAATTTAAATACTTTACTATTACCGTAAAATGAATTTTTGTGAAATTTAATATATCAACAATTTATTGCTTTATTATTATCGGAAGAGACATCTTATCGTAAGAGATACACTACAGTACATTGTAAGGACAGTGAAGGACACCACTGTTTAAAATCCAAACTTCAAATTATGATAATCACTATATGAATCGGTGTCCACTTTATGAATTCATTATCTATTTATGTTTGAGAGCTCCAGTAGCCCTCACTTATTCTTACATGAAAAGAATGTTTGAATATTTGTATAAATAATAATAAATTATTAAGAAATAAATCATTTCCTCAATAAGTGATTGACTTGGTGATTTTGGTGTTTAATTCTGAGTTCAGTTTTTTCAGTTTGTTTAGTGATTCTGTCAATCAGAGTGTTTTGTTCATCGATCTCATTGCCTAATCCTAACGATAATTGCTTTAGTCTTTCGATTCCCAAATCGATTTGATTTAAATTATCTTCTATTTTATCATTAGTTTCTTGGGATTCATGCCATTGTCTGAGAGTATCTTTCTGTGTACCACTCGTGTGACCACTTGAATGTGTCAATTCATTTCCATCTGTCGCACCACTAAATACAACTTTATTTGATTCACTTTTACTATGAATATTTGTCAAAGAATTGGTTGCTTTGATTTCAAAGTTATTGATCTCTTCGAGGAATTGATTTTGATTTGAACTTTTATTTGAGTTATTATTAGTACTCCTTTTCTTTGAAAAAATGCCACCAAAACCACTAAAAATACTTTTCATGGATTTGATATGTTTTTGTGTCTCATGTAAACTGCCATCAATTGACTCCAACTTGTCTTCCACTCTATTCAATGTCTCTCTCTGTCGGACTAACTCTCGTCCGGTTTTAACACCAATTCTTTCGCTTTCAAGAATCAAACCCAACGTCTCTTTCGAGCTCTCGAGAGACTCCTCTTCTATGCGTGTCTTCTCTTCAAACAACTCTCTTCGTGTGTCTCTCTTATCACTTGAAGACAAATCTTTTCCCAAATTCTTCCCAAAATTCTCTTTCAATGAATTTTTATTATCAATATTTGAATCCATTTTTG